TTTTTTTTTTTTTTTTTTTTTTTTAATTTGAGAGAGAGAGTGAGAGAGAGTATGAGAGGGGAGAAGGTCAGAGGGAGAAGTAGACTCCCCACGGAGCTGGGAGCCCGATGCAGGACTCAATCCCGGGACTCTAGGATCATGACCCAAGCAGAAGCAGTCGCTTAACCAACTGAGCCACCCAGGCGAATACTGGGGTGTTTTAAAGGGAGCCTGGCAAATTGCCGATGCAGAGGTTTTTATTCTGTATATTCAGTGTAAAATTGGCTCCCCAACTTTCAAGAATTTTAGGTAATACATTATTTCTTGGATTTGTTTTCTGAATATAAACATGGCTTCTTGTCCCAATAGCCATTGGCAGAGCTGTAAGTAGACACTGGCTTGGACGGGACCGGCTGAGCTGGGATGGTGACTGGCTTGGCTCAGCTTCAGATGAGGACAATTCTCAGAGCCCCACGGGCCTACTATCTCCTTATAAGGAATGAGCTGGGGTCCAGGAGACCTGGGGGTCAGAGGGCAGTCCTGTCTCCCAGTGCTCCCATCTGCTCCCTTTCCCCCTACTAGCCTGGACCTGTTGCCCAGCTCTCCTCCCCTCCAGGAATGGGAAACCAGGGCTTGCTGCTCTCTGACGGTATCATCCTGGGGGTCTCCAGTGAAGGCAGAGTTTCTGGTACTTGGTAGTTTGGTAGTTTCGGGAACTATATCAACTAGGAACGTACCTGATTCTTTTAGGAGCCCCATTTCTTCTCTGCCCCCACCTTCTACAAAGATAAATGGAATTGCATTAGGAACCCGTTAGGGAGGAGTGGAAACAGCCTATGTAGACCTACAATGTTTACAGTAGATCAGAAAGTAGTTCCTTATAAAATGATGGTGCCTGTCCCCCTTTGGGACATACTTTGGGACAGGATGGCCTTTGGCTCTGAGTGCCTTGTCAACACTCTAGGGAGGCGTCCTGTCTACGGGGTCAAAGCCCTGGGAAGACTTATGCCTGACGTGATGCAACCCCAGGCCCTTATAGGGCCATAACCAAATTACAAACTCCCTGAAACTGATTTCTATCTTTGGACAAGAAGGAATCACATGTAGGACACTCGAGCTCAAAGTAAAAGTAAATCTGAGCCAAAGTCAGAATTGTCTTTTGCTTACCTCCCTGACAACCCTCAGCAGCTCAGCCCGGAAGTCCCTTTGCTGCATGCTGCTGGTTTGAGTGTTTTGTTTCTGGAGATCATCCTTCAGTCTGAAACATGCCCTGGCCTCCAGTGTTAAGTTCCTGGAAACCGCAAAAGTCCCAGCTGGAAGGTTCTACCCCTGCAACCTACTGGAGAGGGGCCGTTCGTTTTGTGTCTTTGGCAAATGCATGTAGCCTTGTTCTGCTGGCACTGACATGGGTCCCCTGTGGAAAGGGTAGGCGTCGAGTTAACCTGGGTCATCCAGATCACTTCTTCTCGACCTGGGTTATTGTAGCTTGAAAACTAAGTTTGTTACGGGACAGGTTGCTTACTGTTTCTAGGGCTGATAATCTAATCCACACTCAAAAACCTTGATTTCTCACATATTTACCCTTGCCCCTTTCTACCTGCGCTCCACAAAAAAATAGAATAAACAACCCCCAAACAGACCCATACCCTTGCACTCTCCCAGTTTTTGGTTATAATCCATTCACCAGGTAGTGGCCAAACTCTTAATACACCTCACCTGTGCCGTTGAGAGGACGTTCTGGTTTTCCTCTAGCACTGGGCTATCTTTAAAGACAGGAACCAGTGAGGAACATCTAGGTGCCTTAGCTTAGGCTGCTCTAAGCAAATACCATGAACAGATGTCTTAAACAACAGATATTTATTTCTCAGAGTTCTGGAGGCTAGGAAGTCCAAAATCAAGGTTCCTAGTAGGGTACTCTTCCAGGCATGTGGACAGCCACCTTCTCACTGTGTCCTCACCTGGTGGAAAGAGGGAGCCCTGGTCCCTCTTTTTATAAGGGCACTAATCACGTCGTTGGGCCCCACCTTCATAACCCCGTCGCACCTTAATTATCTCCTACAGGCTCCACCTCCAGACACCATCTTGGGGCCAGGGGTTCAATATATGAACTTTGGGGGACATGCACATTTAATCTGTAGCACTAGGAAAAGAAACTTCTCATTTTATGGTCTCATTTCCAATCGAGCCACTGGCTGACAGATGGTTCTCATTGAAATAAGGATCGTTCTGGAGATTTACCCCATTTCTTCTGCCCCACTGGGACCCAAGGAGGAGCTGGGAGCTGTGGGGTGGGAGAGGGAATGAGATGTGGCCTACAGCCTCTTAGCTCTCAGCCTAGAACCAGAGCTTTGGGCTTGAGCCAGGAGTGTGAGGCTGGTCACCGCACTGTGTGATTGTCTGTGCCTGGCGGTGGTCTGGATGGCAATGGGGAAGGGGCTGGGATTGGATGAACCAGGCACAGTCCAATTTGGTAGGTAAATCAATCGCTTCGTGGCCTGGTCCCTTTGTTCTTTATGCATCAGAATAGGAGACTACGTGCTTTTAATCTCATGCCTGTCTTCCTCCTAATAATTAGTTCCGTCAAGTTGTTTCCTCTGAGAGAAGAGCACATGTGGATTCTAAGTCCTTAGCATTCTTTTCTTGGTGAGCTTCAATTTGTTATGCTTATGGAATTGAGTGCTAAATCTCAGTGATTCAATTAAGACATCTGTCTCCTGCGAACTCAAATAAGGACGATTCTTCCAGTTCTCTATTTCCCAAGGGAAGAGAATGAAAGACATTCAAGCATTTCAGTAAACTTAAACTTTGAGCACAAAGGGCATGGAGAGAGAAATATTTGAGGGAAAGAGTGTGAGAAAACTGGGGGGGCTCTGGGTCCCCTTGCCCCGGAGTTGAGTCCTTGGGCACCCATCAGTCAGGAGGGCTAACAAAGGGTGCAGGTCACCAAGGATCGCTGTCAGACTGTGTGGTGTTAGCACGTGGCCTCTCTGGGGCGGAGATGTGAGTGGGTCAGGCTGGCCTCTCCAGGTGAGTGTGATTCAGCCCTTGGCTTCACCCAGAGGAGAAGTGTCGGGACCTCAAGGAGTCCAGGATCGGCTTCAAAACGTGTCAAGACTTGTTTTTCTTCAGATCATGTTATGCTGTTGTTTCTAATGGTCGTCCTTCTTTCCATTTCCCTCCTCTTTGTTTTTTCTCCCATTTTGATACTATCTCTCGAAAATAACACTAAAGGTTCTCTCTCCCCCTTGGCCTCCTCTCCCTAAAGAAGACCGCTTTGCATGGCAGCATCCCACCAGCCACAGTACCCCCAAGGACTCCCTCTACCTGAGCTCACCAAAGCCTTATGTGCCCCCCAGCACCCGCAGCCAGCAGAGGCCCTCACGACCCCAGGCCGGCCCTGAAGGTGTGCGGCGTTCCGGGCCCTCGCTTCCAGGTCCCACGGTCCCCGGTGCTTCCTCCCAACCCCGGCACCGCCGTGTGGCCACGAGAACAGTTTATAGGGAGAATGTGAGCTCTAACCCACGTCACGAGGCAGATGGGAATAAAAAGGTCAGCAGCTTATATGTCCCGTGTTTATCCAAGAACATCTGCAGGGTGGCCGCGGAAAGCGCCTCTCACGTTGCACGTGACCCAGCCACGGGCACGCCCTTGGAAGCTGCAGGCGCGCGCGCACCGGCTCCCAGCATTGTCCCCCGCACAGCCGGCACGGGAAGGCCACCCTCTGCTCCTCCTGACCCTCCCCAGCCATTCTTTGACATCCATAAAGATGCCGCTAACGGTGCTGGGCCTCCGTTCCCGGATGTGGCGAGACCACCTGTGCTAGGCCCCCAGCTTTCCTCTGCTCCCGAACACCGGAGGAGAAAAGAACCTTACCTTTCGCAGCCGTGTTATCCAGCCAAGGCAAGGAACTAGGAATGTTTGTGTGTCTTCTACACTGCCTCTCTCGAAGCTCATGCGGGCAGCTCAGTGGTTCTCTGGGCTGCCTCCCCTCCCTCTCCTTGTCAACCTTGCCACAGCTTGAGTCCCAGATTCTGCTCTCTAAACACCTTGGCACAGCCCTCTCTGTCCCCCGCCCTTTCCTGGTAGTATGTAAGTATGCCAGAGTGTGGGATCCGTAGACTAATAATAGGGTGAGTTATGGGGTGTCGATGTTTGATCACAAGGGGCCAGAGAAATTCTATTTGCTCCCAAGCTTTTGGGCTCTGCAAGCAGTTCGGGGGCTAAACGCAGCCTGCCTGCCTGTTCTGTTGTTCTCTCTCTCTCTCTCTCTCTCTCAAGTGTTAAAAGGACTCAAAAATAGATGGATGGCAAGTCGACTTGGATGGGGTTCCCTGTGTGTCATGGAGCGTCAGGAGGCCAGCTGGCCAGCACCGACTGTCTCATGTACTCTGAGGAATGGGCACCGATTAAATAGCTCTCAGAGTACATCACTGCATGTCCAGTCTCAACCGTTTAAATAAGGAATTCCTTCTTCCCTGCCGTGCGCCTTTACGTAACAACCCCCTTATTTCCTACAGGGTGCCACTTCCTCCAGTTCAGCCCAGCCTGAGGTAATAGTTGTGCCTCTCTACCTGGTTAATACTGACAGAGGGCAAGAAGGTACAGCCAGACCTCCAGCATCTCTGGGGCCCCTTGGCCCCCCAGGCCCGGCGACCGCCCCTGCCGGCTCACCTCTGACCTTCCCGACTCTAGATGATTTCATTCCCCCTCGTCTGCAGAGACGGCCCCACCACAGCCAGCCAGCCGGCGCTGCTGACCCCCACCCCCCCGTTAGCCAGACACCACCATCCTTCTCACCACCTCCTCCGCTGCTCCCTCCGGCCCCGGAGGGCCTCCGCAGAGCCTCGGAGCCTGACCTCACGGGAGCCGTTTCAAGTACCGTAAGCTTGCTGGAATCCCCTCCTCACAGCTGTCCTGAATGTCTGCTCCTGGCGGTGAAAACCCCTCTCACTGAAGTACTAAGCCACGAGGGACGTGTCCGCTGCCACTGTGCTCGTGTGGCGACCGGGCCCGTGTGTGCTTCCCCCAGAGTGCATGCCTCCCGCGCGCGCTCCTGCAGCCGCTCACGAGCCCCTCACGTCCCTCGTCCTGTCTGTCCTGTTCGGAATGCACACCTTCCTGAAAGTACTCCGTTTTTCCCTCCGAGAACCTCCGTGGCCTTGCCTTTGGCTCGTGATGCTCTCGAGAGGCCAAACAGATGTGGTGGTGAGAGCCAAGGGAAGCCGAAGAGCCGTGAGGGGACACCAGCGGCCGTCTCTCCGCCAGGGAGCAGTGAGGCGCCAGGGCAGGAAGAGATTGCCTCTTCTGTTGAGTTAGCAAGTAAACGCTGTTACGTACACAGGAGGCAGAGCATAGGGTTTGTTTTTTTTGTTTTTTTGTTTTTTTTTTGAAAAAAAATGAGAGAGTTGAGTTTAATTGAGTAAATGGATCTAAAAGCCTTGGGCAAATGTTAGGGCTGTTTTCTCCAAAGGCAGAAAATTGCCGGGGCCCCTGACTAGTGGGTCCCGGGGCTCTTTGTGGCAAAATGTTGTATGAAGGTCGAGGGCCATGATACCTCAGGTCCCGTCCCATGACGGCCGAGTCCCCATGGTAGGTGGGAGGTTCCAAGTGCTTGAGAGGAAAAGCTGAATCAGGGTACCTAGTCTTTTTTCCCCTCTTTTTCCGCCCTGGGAGTCAGAGGATCTGAGACCCTCAGAGTGAACTGTAAAATGGGAATGAGTGGGTTTACCCATAGGCCTGTGGGCTGCGGTGGGACCGAGTATGTTCGAGTTCTTAGGATAGTGGAGAGAGCGCTCAGTGACCATTAGCTACGTTGTCGAGGACTTGCCCTTGCAAATGGGGGCAAGAGTCCCTCAAAAATAAGTCATTGGCTAATTAGCAATTAATGAGCTCTACCATGTTCCGGGCATTCTGCTAGATTCTGTAGGTACAACTATGAACAAGGCACAGCCCTTGCTTTCATAGGGTTTTTGTAGGTGCCATATGGGCCCTCAAGCTTCGGGTATCTGGGATTACCTGAGAGGCATGGAAGTTCATTTAAGTTGTCAACTCCTGGTTATACGTCCGGAGTCCTGATTGGGCGGGTCTGCAGAGGGGCCTGGGGCTCTGATTTGCTAACACACATCCTGGGGATTCTGGTGCTCAGGGGCCTCAGACCACATTTTGAGATACAGTGGGTCATGTAATCGGCTGATGCAGCTAAATGTCCGTAATGTCCCCTTGTGTAAAGGTGGGTGCCTACAAGACTGGCTCTAGGGGCTTGTTAAACCGAAGCCAGTCCTGTGCAAAAACAGGGAAACCTCTTTTTGGCTTGTAGGAGAATATTTAGCCAGATACCAGGCCCACCAAAGCTGGGGACAGCTTCATTCTGGTCTAGGTCCTCTTCTCAGATCTCTAGATGTGACACAGTGCAGTTAGGTCAGGCCTCTTTGGTTATCTTTCTAGCTTTGAGCTTTGCAGATCAACCCTGTTGGAGGAAAATGCTAGATTGTTTCTAATGCCCTCCCCTCCCCCCAGCAGCTTATAGATGAATTGAGAAACTGCTCCTGCTTTGGAGGGTCTGTTCTTCCCTTGGGCACAGAGTATTTCTCTAGAGCAGCACGTAAAGCAAGATACATTTAGTGCCCTCGTTTATTTTATGATTGTGAGTGGTTTTGTTGTATACTCTATAATGTGTCATCTGTAATGATTATCAGATGGAAATCTGATCTAGATTTTCCAACTGAGTTTTGTTACAGGTGATCCAGAACAGGTTAGTTAGGACAGTGTCCTCAGTTTCTCAGACCTGACTGATCAGCCTGGTGTAGACTTCTAGGGGGTCCTCAGCTGGCCAGGTAACTTCTGGTTGGGCCCCAGCTAACAGTGAGGTGAGGAAGGGCACTGCTTGGGGTCTTGCACTCAATGAGAACGGTCAAGAAGAACCCCCAGGGAAGGTGGTCAAGCCACAAGCTGAGATTTGCTCTACCTGCGGCTAGTTGAGAGGAAGAGGGAAAAAGAAAATTCATGTGAATTGAATGGGTTCTTTTAGTCAGTAGCCATTTTTGTGATGTTCCAGAAATAAGACTTGTGCCACCGAATGAAATTTTGTGGAATACTTCCTGTTCACATGATCAGTCCAGACACCACAGGAGACACTTCTACCTTAAGGAGCCACATGCCCAATTTGTGTGTGCGTTTCTTGGGTGCATTCTGGCAGAGTTTTCAGAGATATATCATTTATCTTTATTAAATCAGGAAGTAAATTAAGACAAGTAAAATTTTTTTCTACTTTACAAATGAAAAAGTGGAGATGAAGACTTTTGAATAAGATCATATTATGCCTCTCGAGCCTCGGGGAAGGATTTTAGTCACTAAATTGAGCTGTTGCCCCTAACTAGGAGCTGCAGCATTAGGACACTTTCAGAATTGGACTGAAGCCCTACTGTGTGTTAGGAGCTGTCCCCGGTCCTGATACGTTCTCTCTCTTCTGGACATGTGTTTTCTTGCTGCAAAGGTTGTTCAGATACCTTTGCAAATAGAGGGTGGCAGTCATTCAGGTGGTGTTTATTTATGAAGCACCTGCTGTCTGCAGGGTGTTGAGCTAGGTGCAAGGGTCAAAAGGAGGAATGAGGCATAGCTTTTGTCCTACAGGTACTTAGAAGCTGATCTCTGGAGCAAACTAATTGCTTTGAGCCATACTTTCATCTGGAGAGTCACGATCAAAGTCTTGCCTTTCAGACTCCTTAAGAATGACATGCCGGCTGGAGGTCTATAAATTCCAAGATAGAAACTTCATAAGATTTATAGGCAGGATAGAGGAAACTGTATACGCATCCTTACTACATATTGAGGTCTTATTTTCCTGTCTTCAAAGAAGGCTGCCATCATTCACATCATGCAAATTATAATTTTGATAGTAATGATTCTATTGGATTTTATAGCCAAAACCTCAGGTTTCTGAAGTCAGGATCTTCATAAGTCTTTACCACTTCAGAGATCTTTGTCACTCCGTACTGGAGTGAAAAAAAAAAAATGTCAGAACCAGATAACAGAAGCAAGTGCTAGTAAGGCTGAGGATAACAAGAGTGGCTTTCCAGGAGGACCAGTACTTAACTCTTCACTCTTTACATCGATGGCTTCTTGTCCTCACATTGTCTCATGTTTCTTTAGACAACTGTACTAAACCTTCCTGATTTTTCCCTTAAACCAGCTCTCGTTCTCGGATCACATTTGGAATTGCATGAGTCTTGCATGTTGTTCTACTTTGATCTGAATTTCCTTTTTTAGTAACTGGAGTGACCCACAGTTGTTACCAGGTGAAAATAATGATGTTGCTGAGACTTCGAGTAACACTCACCCTTGCTCTCTACCCTTACTAACACCAACAAAGAGACTATGCATTCCAGATTAAGCTTCTAACTGGAATTCGTGATGTCTCATTGATTACATTTCTTTTCATAATTAAGGTTCTTGTAAAGCTGTAAATTTCTTCTTTTTAAAAAGCATTAACGTTAGGTTTCACGTAACTTACAGTTGGTCACAGTGTGTGTTCACTTTTCAGGATTCAGGTCCTCTACTAAATGAAGTTTCTTCATCCCACGTGGGAACCGATCCCCAGAGCTCTGCGCCAGCTAGCAAGCCATCTTCTGCCTACCCCTCTACGACAATTGTCAATCCTACTATTGTACTCTTGCAACACAACCGAGGTAAGGGACCTTCACAGAGTGCCCCCAGTTCATTGGCATTCACGTAGCTGTGCTGTGACTTCCAGGGGCAGGACTTCTGCCATTCCACAGAAATTTTTACAAACCCTGTCTTTCCCTGAGGTTGTCTGCCCCCGTTTACTCACTCCCGTGACCCACAGAGTAGACCACAGCAGGGGGACAGGTCCCTGATTTAGGACGATGTCGGATATCTGCGTAAGTAAGCTGGTGGAGCATGTATTGCACGCCTGGGGCTTTCACAACTATCTTCAGATGGCAGCACCAAAAAGAAAGAAAGAAAAGACAGAAGGGGAAAAGTCTATGCACCTAAACTCCTCTCATCATGAGCACTCGAATCAGAGTTTTGGCTGGAAAATCTAGGTACAGTAATACCTCTTTTAATAAGTCAGGTGGTTCTTTGACATCATGAATTTTCTAGAAAGCAAAATTTTGATTACCAAAATTTTTTTTAAAAGCAAGCATAATAGGTGGAAACCTTTATAAACTGTCAAATGTGTTTTTGTGCCTCTGAAGCAGGCACTGGACTTTTCTCTTGGTGACTCACTGGCCTTGACTCTTGCCAGCAGTTATCACACTGGGCTGTCACTCAGTGCACCCTCTGGGGATATGAGGCTCACGTGGCTGTTTGTCCCTTACACTGTGCAACCCTGTACAGCTCTGCTGAGGGTTTCCATGTTTCTTTTCTGTTGCTTCTCTTACTGCTTCTGGTTGGTTCTTCCCCTTCTCTGAAGGGGCATCTTAGGCAAAGCAGAAGCACTTTGAAGTAATAGTTGTATCTGTTGACCCTTCTGCTTTAAAATTTTAGAAGATGATTCTAAGTCCCAAGTTTTTACTAGTTGGAGTTCAACAGAGAGAGAAACTTTCCCTTCATAAAAATCCTATTCAATGTGAAGTGTAAAGTTGTCAAGCTGTTTCCTAGAGCAGAAAGAGCTTTTTAGTCAGAGTTTCAAAAAAGCTGGGCACCAAACCTCTCCTTTTCTTGACTTGCTGCTCGCCTACTGCGCAGTTCTCCCAGACTCCCCCCTCCCCTACATTAACTTGGACGAGAATGGAACTGGAGTCTATTTTTAATTGTTTTCCATATTAAATGGAGTTTTCTGTTTCCTGCTTCTAACTTGTAAAACAGATGAATGAAACATTTCCTCTCACTTAAAAATCTTCCCACTCAAATCTTAGTTATTTTCGTAATTTTATTTTTTTTTCATTATGTATGGCCTCCATATTAACCGTCCTCCCTGAATCTGTGTTCTTCCAAAGATGGTAGGGGTCCCAACCCCCACCCTAAACTATAGAAGACCCCATTCTCAGTAAGGGCCATACCCCTTACTGGCAATAGCTTTCTCTGCCCAGTGTCCACAGTGCAGGACAAAGTGAAATTTTGGTTCTCTATGAACTTCTTTATGACTCATCTCTTAAAAAAAAAAAAAAGTTCAAAGAGAAGCAAGTTAGTTCCCAGAAGGAAAGGCAGTTTCTCTAAAAATGGGATTTATTCCCAAGGCAACTCGGTTTTTGGGAAATGCCAAGTGTAATGTCAGCTGCTTCCACCAAGTCCCTCAGATGACAGCGAGACATCTTTGGGCACAGAAATGCCTGTAGTTCTTTTTTGTTTCTTCTCTGGGCAAATGGATTCCTCTTATTTGCCCAAAAGCTTTCGGTTCTTGCCTTTCTCTTTTGTGCAGTCCCGCACTTTGGATTTAAAGATCAGAATCCTGCTGCCTGAATCACACATCCTTCAGTGAAGGATACAAGTACATTCGTTTTTTTTTTGGAATTAAAAGTAGCTTCTCCTAAAGAGCAAACCATATGTTCCCTAAGGGGGCGGAGCAGGAAGAGTGGAGGAAAATGGAGGCGCCCAGCCACCTAGCCTTGGATCACTAATTGTCAGTGGGGTTTAGGTCGTGTGTTTTGGCCTTGCTTTGGAACTTACTCAGCCTGGCAGCAGTGCTCATAGAAAGTACCCATAGAAACAATTTCTCAACTATTGCAAAGTCTCCTGAGGGAATAATAACTTTACTCTACTTCTGGAATTCTAGTTTAGTCATCCTAAAAAAGGTTCCCCCCCTTTTTTTTCCTTGCCTCAATGGCCCCAGAGCACAGTGTAACAATAACCTTCTCTCTGCAAGCCAGTCCCCACCCTCTGCTGTAGACACAGGAGGGGGCACCACACGTCTGCCCTGGCCCACACTGCACAGCTCCTCGCCCCTCTCCTTGACATTTATACCACGGGTCTGAGGGCAGGGCACTTAGGATCAGTCTGAAAGGAAGATTGGAACCAGGAAACTCAGGCATGACGAGGTGCCTGGGTCCCCTCGCTCAGAGCTCCTTAGTCTTTAATGTGCATGGTCTGGGGAGTACAGTCTTGCAGATTTGCATGTAGGAGGTCTGGGGCAGGGCTGAGAACCTGCATTTTTTTCAGCAACTCACAGGATACATTGGTGGTTCTGGTCCCTAGACCACACTGGGGACCAAATGTTCAGTGGCCTCCAGACTCTGGGTCTTATGGTCATGGGAAGCAGCCTGGGGACTACCCCAGGGTTGCTCATTTCTAAATAAAGTAAATAACACCCCTGAAAAACAACTGCTCTTATCCATGTCATTCTGTGAAAGAAAGGCCATTTCATATCCCAGAAGGAGGAGCAACCTAGCCTTTGAAGTTGAATAGATTTGCTGTTGTCTGGTGAGGAAGCCCTTGCCTCCAATTGGCAGACTGGAGTTTGGGAACCATAGGTCAGGTGGGCACTTGATCGGACAGATGAGGAAACCAAGAGCAGAGTTTACGCGATTGGTCAACATCCACTAGCAAGTCGCTGGCAGAGCCGAGCCTAGTGCTCGGCCAGGCTCCTGCCGTCCAGCTGGTGTGAACTTTGTCCGCGTCCAGAGGTGGACAGGCTGTTCCACTGACTGTAGGTGCCCCTGCTGCTCTGTTTACTTCTCACCCATGTGGCTTCTGGAGGGAGGGTGGGGCTGCCGCCAAGGGGGTTGGTGACAGCTCCCAGAGGCTGGCAAGTGCTCTATTTTTATCTATGTGGCTGCTTTATATTTAGCAACTGTGGAAGGTAAAGGTCATTTTTGTGCCTATCCCGAAGCACATACACACAGAACTCTGAGAAGGAGATCTTGGGCTCCCCTCCGCGAGTGCCTGGGAGGGTGAGCAAGCGAGAGACCATCTGTTGGGGAGCAGTAGTGGCCTGGCAGTCAGGGCTGGAAGGCAGGCCACACTCAGAGTCGGGAAGCCAGGTTCTAGGCCCTCCTCTGATGGTCAGTGTCACCGTGGGTACTGTGTGCTGCCTATCTGAGGTGTCTCAACCTGCCCGCCCTACCTGCTAGGGTTGTTGCATAGATTCAAGGTGTTAACGTGCGAAAGCTCTTAGAGCAATGTCTGGTGTTTGACAGAGCTCTCAGGAGCTGGGAGCTGGCATGGTGACAGTTATAATTCTGTTTCCTTCTGAACGTACTGAGACTGGGGTCGTCATAGGGTCCTGGTCCCTTGGAACCAGGGGAGTTGGGAGGGTCTCCTTCTATGATCAGATCACCTTGAAACCACATGGAAACAACCAGCAGTGACCATTTCCTGAATCTTGGGGCAGATATGGGGGACTGGTCCTTGGAGACACCACACCTGGATAACTGAAGCCACAGTAATGCCCCGGCCCTCGGCTGGGTGTGGTGGCCACGCCACAGTCCACCATCTGAGCCCAGGGGGCAGTCAGGATGCCAGTTTGGGGACGCTCACAACTTCTGGCAGGACTTCCTGGTCTTACCGTGTCTGTGTAAATCTCACGATGTATATCTTTTTTTTTTTTTTTTTTTTTTTTTAATCACAGAACAGCAAAAACGACTCAGTAGCCTTTCAGGTAGGTGCCAAATATTTCTCTACACGCTAACACCTCAGATGTTTGAGCAGCACAGTCTGATGAGCTCCTCTGATGTGCTGGGGACTCTGTTTGTTGCTGGGCCACACGGATGGTGAAAGTAGGCGCTGTCCCACCTCCTCCTTGCAGCCTGAGGGGCAGAGGAGGCACCCCACACCAGTGACCCCAGCTCATACACAGGCCCTGGGCGGCCGTGATCGGCTCCTGGATGGGTTGGAATAGGATCCTGTGAATAAAAAAGAACAAAAGGTTATGCCTCAGGTGGAGTGTTCGTGACAGGCCTCACTGAAGAAGTCCCCTTTCTGTTGCTTCTAATCCCTCTCCTAGGATGTGATAAGTCAGGGTTAGGGAATGTACGCAGCTTCTTTTCTTACTGGGTGGCAAGCCCAGATGCCGGTCAGTGATGTGTGACGGGCCGTGACAGCCTCCAGACCAGCAGGGCCTGGAAGTGGTGGCGGGGTGTGAGCAGCCATCAGAGTCTCCAGGAGAGCTGGTCCAAAACCCAGATACCCAGGCCACAGCTCCAGAGATTTGGATGTCGCACGTATGGGTGAGCACTCGTGTGTCTAACCGGGTCCCCAGAGATGCTGAGGTTGCGCGTGCACTGAGCAGGCTTCGGAGCAAGTCTCGTCAGGAACTGGCAGTGGTGGGCTTGGGTCTGCTAGATCCTTAGGTATCGGGGCTCCCTCCCTGATGAAGCGCAGCCGCGTGTAGGCAGAACCGGGAGGAAGCCCAGGAATGGGCAGCTTTTACCATGTCCTTAGGGCTCTCCATAGCCATTCTGCCTTGAGTCCCGATCCTCCTGCTTCCCCATGGGGCAGCTTAGGCAGGCTGCTAATGCTCTAAACCACAGGTCAGTTTTCTGACCTGCCAAATGGGGAACGTAGTAGTGCCACGTAGGTCCTGCATATGAGCAGCCAAGCACCGAGCCTTGGCACTCATTAGGTGCTCAGTAGACATGCGTTTCCGTGGTCAGCAGACACCACTGTTAATTTGGTCCTCATTTTATTGAGTGCTTACTTTGGATCCCACACCGGGCCGGGCTCTGTGGCAGTATCTGGGAACTGTGCTACCCTCCAGCAGCCCATGGTGTGGTATGATGGTTCATAACTTTTTTTGGTGATGGACTTATTTGGAGAATCTAATAAAGGCGGTAGATTCACCTCTAGAAGAAACCACATGTGTCAGACGGGCACTTGGTGGGTATTATAGACACGTGTAAATCTGGGGCGGGAATCCCTGATCTCGTGGATACACAAAGCCACTGTTTTCTGAGCAGCTGCTTCACGATTTCTGTTACTTCCTGCTACTGCTGCCCTCGGGATTCGTGGAGAGCCCAGTGGGGGAAACATGGGGTTCTCACACCCTCTCCGCTTTATCAGGACTTGGCCCCAGGACCAGGACAGGCCGTGGCTGAGCACAAGGTGCCCTTCACTGCCCCCTCCTGACTCTGCCACACCAGCCCACTTCAGCGCCTGGCCCCCGCCCAGGTTGGCTGAGAGCTGAGTGGCTCTGAAACGAAGGGAGCTCCTGGGAACACGTTCCTGCCTTTGGGATTTGGGAAGGAGCAGTGGAATGGATGAAACAGCTGCCCAAACACAGGTTAGGAGGCCCAGTGTTTGCTCCTTTTTATTGACATCGTTTTTGCCCGGGTAAGTGACTTTACCTCTCTGCAGCATAGCTTCCTCCAAAGAGGCGTGAGGCTCTTGTGCGACAGGAAGGGGGGTATGCTCTGCCCACCAGAAAGCGCTACACAATGTTAGGGCTTCTCCACCCAGGCTGGCAGCCTCGGGCCACTTCCTTGGCTCCAAAATAAGCTTCATGTTTCCATCTTCCTTGAGTGTTGGGGCAGAGCCACTAACGGTGTTTGATAGAGTGGGGCATAAAGTAAGCGCTCACTTAATGTTAGTTTTTGTTGACAAAGCAGCGGCACGATTTTGTTCTGAAGGAGAGAGGCTCAGCTGGGCTGACTCCAGTCTGCTCCCCAGCATAAGTACCTCGGGTGATCGCACTTGAAGGGCCACGCTTCTCATCCCAGCCCCCCATCCTTAGTGGGTTTTTATCAAGCCTTAATGGGGCTTCTTGTTCAATGGCATTCATTCGGGACGGAGACCCACATGGTGTTTGGCCGCCTCAAGCCTGTGGCTCTCTCGGGGAGGTGCGCACAGAAGCAGGTCAGGGCTAGGGCCGAGGGTCCGGCACATTTTCCTCAAGGAGGTGTCGGCACTGCTGTGGTCCTCAATCACAGAGTTTGGGGTGTGAAGGGAAGGAAAGCTGTCCACAAACACAGAGGCCCTGTCCCAGGTTGTCAGCATTGTCACTTACTGAGTGGCCCTTTTCAGCAACTTCCTTTTAAAAGTTCAGTTTAAAACTGGACGGAGATGCTGCAGGAAGTCTTGCTGAGGGAATCAGTATTTGCCTCCTGAGAAACAGCAGCTGCCCCCCTTGTCCCTTGGATGTCACTGGGTGGTCCTGTCACCTGCCTGGTACAAGAAAGTGTCACGTTAGGTTTTCACTACGTAACAACAACAAAATTTTTTTCTTTGAGGCTGCCGTTCATCTTTCTGTGCCCCGAAATCCACTCGGTCACGAAGCCTGTGATCACAAGCTTCCAAAGTATAATAATTCAGGGCACATTTTTGTAGAGCCAAAGCCCTCTGACCACTTTGGAACGAATCACTGGACTGTCACCCCAGTTTTGTAGTTAGGTGATTCTTGTTGGTGCCACCTGCCCTAACAATGAAAAAAATGTCTCTGGGTCTGGAATCCCTGAGAACGCCGAGTCCATGCAAAGAGAGGACGTGGGAGTGAGGCATGTGAGCGCCTCCAAGCACTAGGTGAGACGGCTTGGAGTCAGCCCCACTGCTGCTTCCTGGTGGCACTTAGGAAGGCCTTTCTAGGCGGGAGGAAAATGCTCAGCAAAGCCGCAGTAAGGGTAGACTTGGGTGACTTGAAATCGCCCTGCACTTCCCGGCCTCCTGCCAAATCTGTGGCCTCCTGTTGGCTCTGCTGGGGGCATGAGAACTCATCCCATGAATCCAGTCTGGCCTCACCATCCTGTAAAGCTCATGGCTGTGACGCTGGGGGTCGGGTTGTCTGAAGCGTACGCTGAGCTGGGTCTTGGACAGAATGTTTAGAAACCACTCTGTGGTCGCAGAGTGAGTACTTGTTTCAGGAGTTGGTATGAAATCCCGGCCGGGTCACTGCTCCCTCTGCTCCGGGTGGGCAGGCTCTGAAGGTCATAGCATCTGAGCGGTGTGTCCCCACTTCCCTGGCCCCTCCTTCACACGGGGACATCTCTGACTCAGGCAAAACCTCGCACACACCCTCGGGCCCCTCCTTTCTGCTGGAGTTTACTCTCTAAACAGCCCTCTGCACTCTTGCCTTTCCCAAGGGTGAGAAGTGCTCCCTCAGTCGGTGACCAGATCCTGACTGAGCATCACCGCCTGGATGCCAGGCTGCCCCTAGCTCCCCTTCAGTCTCACTGCCAGGGCGTTGCTGCTAGGACTTAGCCTCCCCCTGCTCAGACCTTTTTGACCCCCAACCTCTTGGCCTCTCTGGTTGCCACCTGCCGTAGTCTTCCTTGTGTGCTGAATGCCTCCCTACTTCCTTCCCTGCCTCCTGCTCCCAGGTTCGTCCCTTTCTCTGCAGTCTGGCACCCACCCCACTGCCCTCAGAAACTTGCTCCCTCGCCAGTGATCCCGTGACTCTTGCCTAATTAAATGCCTCGTTCTCCCGGTGTTCCTTTTTCGTCCTTCCGTCCTTTCATGGGTTGAATCATCCGCTTCTTGGAATTCTCTTCTCTGGCTTCAGTGATGCCGCACTGTTCCTCTCGGGTTCACCTCCTTTCCCTCCGATAACTCGTGTGTCCTTTGGGGGATCCCTTTTGCTCTTCAGCGTGTCCCCACGACATCCCTTAGCTCATGACAGCCCTTGACTCTGCCCTCATGTACTCCTCCATGACCTCTTTTATTGCGTTACTGCTGATGGCTTGGGAATGGCACTCCTGCCAGGGCCCCTTGCCGGGGCTCCACTCCCTCTTTCTTCAAGGGCATTTCTGCTTGGATATCTCACTGTCAAAGTTACCGTGTCTGAATGAAGGCAGCCACCTCTCCCTGCCTTCCCCACCCCAGTCCCTTTACTAACTTCTGTTTGGATCAGGCCAAGCTTGGAGCCTTGGTGCCGTCTTGGAAGGCGGTACGACAGGACATGGTTCAGAGAGACCTGCTGGTCAGGTGTCCCTAATCTACATCCTAGCTTGGCCGCATGGCAGCTGTGTGACCCTAGGCAGGGCATGTTAATGTCTCTGTGCCTTGGTGCCCCAAACTGTTTTGGGGTTTTTTTTTGTTTTTAGTGAACGGATAATAGTTTCTTCCTTGTAGCGTTATTGGGAAGGCGAACTGAGACCATGGATATGAAGAATTGAGCACAGTGCCTGGCCCCTGTGTAGCTCAGAGTAGTACAGAGGCTCCTTGCATTTGCTGCTCCTGATCCCTCTGCCAGGGGCACCCTTCACTTCCTGTTTGACTCCCTCCGAGACGCCAGCCCTGAACTTAAATTCCTCAGCTAAGTTGGATGCGGGCTCCATCTGCCCTGGCCATCCTGCATTCTCACTGCTGGCTCTCTCGCCTTTTCTGCCCACTGGCTGTCAGCTCCTTGCAGGCCCACACCCTGAGAGGTCCACGCCCCATGGCCGCAGGACATGCCGTGCAGAGCCATGACGCCTTCCCGTAGTAAGGGACGTGGTTGGGAATAACAGAGTATACGATCTAAACACCTGGTCTGTTTATTCACTCTCTGTAACCTCCAGTCCTGAACCCGATCAACTCCAATGTGCACTCAGCAACGGAAAGGGCGAGCTAGGTGCTACTCTGCTTGGCCACCATAACTTGAAAGCATCCATAAGTAATACGTAAACGAATGGGTGTGGCTGTTTCCTGATAAAACTTTACTACGGAAACAGGCAGCCAGGCCCTCGTTTGCAAACTGTGCTCTCAGGGAGACTCATGCCTGTTGGGAATTAGCAAACACACTTGCCCCAGCTGGATTCTTTGGGAGATTTCTGCTTCGGAGCCACAAGGAGAGCTGCTGTAGCTAATAACTGTTTCTCACTTCCAGATCCTGTCTCAGAAAGAAGAGTGGGAGAGCAGGACTTGGCACCAACGCAGGAGAAACCCACCTCACCTGGAAGGGCTACTGAGAAAAAGGCAAAGGATGACAGTAGACGGGTGGCCAGGAGCGCTCAGGACCTGAGCGATGTTTCCATGGATGATGTGGGCATCCCACTCCGGGTATGAATATGGACCCCAAGTCCTACTTAAGCTTCCTCTTACGCCGGTGACACATGTACACCTGAGTGCACGTGACCCTACTTGTGGCTGACAAAGGCCTCACATGGAAATCCTTGCCACTGCCTACTCTCCAGACCCGCGGAGGGCCACAGAGCTTCCCAGAGCTGTGCTCTGGCCTCCCGTCCTACCCTGGTCTTGAGCTCAGAGGGCAGCAGCTTTCCTTAAAGCATGTTAGATGGTCTAAGTCTCATGAGAAAAGGGTCCGGGGTTCCAGGACTGTGGGGTAAAAGCAGGGTGGAGCACAGAGCCATTTCTCTGCAGCAGAACTTCTGAGAAGCTTGAGGCCGGTACCTTTTCTAGGGGAGGATGTCATGGTCAGCATCTCCCAGCCTTCCTTTTGTGTCCTGCGGAGCATGCTCAGAAAATGCAGGTTCAGGATTACAGGACCCTAGGGAGAGCATGGGGCTCAGGGTCCCTGTTGATGTGTTCAGGAAGAAGTTCCTCTGGCTGGGAGAGACCCTGTCACATGGGGTGAGCAAGAAGCTCTAAGGAAGCCACAGAATGGGCTCAGCTGCCCAGTTGTCCCCCTCTGCACAGGCACGCCAGCCTCCTGCAGGCCCCCTGGGATTCAGGGGAAGCTGCCTTTGAAAGTGGATTAGGGTGAATCCCCTTTTGTTCCATGAACCCCTCAGAACACTAGCTAGAATGTTTCTCTCTACGGTCTCCGTGTAGTGAGTAGACGGTTTCTGGTGTCCCTTTGGAGGAGTAGAAACAACAATGGGCTGAGCCTTGGAAGAACTGTTGTCTGGTCCTAAGTAACACTAAGCATATAAGGACAGTAATTCGTAGGAAGGGAGTTGTGCTGGACGGTCATTGCTGGATGGTGGCCGCTCGCGCAGCAATCTCGGCATTCACTCTGCAAGGTGAACGCAGATAGAATTCCCGCTTCATAGATAAGGAAGCAGGGACTCAAGAGTGATTACGGTCCTTACTCAGGATGGCACAACCTGCCAAACCCACACCACACACTCTGACTCCCAAACCCACACCCCTAACCATCACGTGAGGTGGCCTTCCCACTCGCCTCCACGCCAGCTCTGTGACCTTGGGCATCGTTTTTACTTTATTCCTCATCTCTAAAGTGAGAGTGAAAATGCATGATCTAATCACCCATCTCTACCCGTCCTTGTTTTATTTTGCTCTTAAAACAAAAACAGCTCAGCTTTGGGATGAAGATGAAACTCTCTGGCCCTCTTCAAGGTGACAGCACTTCTGCAGAAAAAGCTGATATGGGTGGGGACGTGCAGATCTTCTTTGCCTCATGTTTCTAGGAGGCTTTACGTCTGCTTAGTTGTCTCTCTAAAAAATGAAATTTTTAAAAATTGTATGAATGAACACACTTCAAGTGGATCTTCATTTACTTTTTTCAGAATCTGCATCCTTTTTTGGCCAATTATTACTCTGCAGATTCAGGTCTGAATCTCTTTGTCTGGCTATTTTTTTTTTTAAAGATTTTATTTATTTTATTTTAGAGGATGAGTGTGTTTGAGCAGGGGAAGGGGCAGAGGGAAAAGGAGAGAAGCTGAGTGTGGAGCCCAACACGGGGCTCGATCTCATGACCCTGAGATCATGACCTGAGCCAAAATCAAGAGCTGGATGCTTAACTGACTGAGCCACCCAAGCACCCCTTGGTTTGGCTGCTATTTCTCAAATGTTTTGCATTTTTATTTTATTTTATTTTTTTGTTTTGCATTTTTAATAATGACTTAAATGTGGGGTCACCAAGATGTATAGAGTAACGTAAGTTTGGGCTTCAGGTATTGTCACTTTGCAGAAGCTCTGATTTCATGATCATAGAAGTTCTGAAATGTGCTGACCTTTCTATTTTATTTTACTCTTTGCTTTTGTTTTTCTCTAGAACACCGAGAGATCCAAAGACTGGTACAAGACCATGTTTAAACAGATCCACAAACTAAACAGAGGTACTGATTTTCATTTGTAGAAGCTATGCTGTGTTCATACGTTAACTATTGTGGTGAGGACTTAAACTTGCTTTGCTAGGATGTCAGAAGGCTGGGCCCTGTGCTCAACTCACTGAGCAGCCTGCCTGAGCCCAGCCATATGCCTACAGAGCAGAGCAGGGAGGGACCGCTTGTGTTCTTCCTCACATGTGTGCTTTGAGGTCAGATCTCAAGTCCTCCCTCCCAGATGTTGTGGGATGTAGCAGGTTGAGCCCAGCACTCCGCCTGTGCTCCAGCATCTGCCTGCCCGGGGATGTGAGCAGCTCTGACTCCCACCTGCTTCTGGCTTTAGGTGCAGCCCCCCACCCCTTGTCAGCCCATGACTGCCTTGTGGGCAGAGCAAGTTGAGAAGGCACTGAACTGGGAGTGGAGAGAACTGGTCTGACCTGGCTTCAGTCCCCTAAGCATTCATGTAACCTTGGACCAGTCACATACCTCTCCACATTTCAGCCCTCTTCCCTTCCTCCAAGGGATGTCGCAGGGTCCAGATGAGAGCAAATTCTGCCTTAGGAAGTAGCATGCGTGGTGCACCTATAAGGTGGCATTAAAATGGAAAATAATCTTCCCCAGCTGGGAGCCAGCACCTGGCAGGTAGCCCTGGGAGCCAGTCAAGAGCTGACACAGCAAAGCCCGCTCAGGCTTGAAGGGAAGTGCTTCGGGATCAGGGCCCCGCTGGGCTTGTCAGCAGGTGATCCTGCATGGTGGGAAAACCCCAGGCTGGTGCTCGGGCAGCTCATGACCCCAGCAGCTCCCACCTGCCTGCGCTGCCCATCAGCTGGTGGGCAGGGATGCAGCTGCCCTGTGGGACAGGCACTCCTCCCAGGGGCAGAGCATCCTGTCGTTCCCTGGGGCCAAATCCAGTCTGGCCGCCTGGCACAGAGGACACATGAAGGCAAAAGGAAAGCGTTCTGGTTGGTGGCGGCCTAAGCCGCAAGTAACCGATCTCTCTGATTAGCTGCAGATGTCCGCTAGCCTCACTGGTGCTGAGCTCCTACAGTGTTCACAATGAGCCTGGCTGTGCCTCTCTTCCGACTCTTTCAGAATACCGAGATGTTCAGTGTTTAGTGTTTCTAAACCGAGAGCAAATCCACTGTGGTTGGGTGGATGAGCTTAGTCATGGCAGGGACGCCAAAGGCCAGGTCTCTGACTGGGTGATGTCCCTTCTCTTGGTCATTTCCTCAAGCCAATGTCCAGCTCCCCCAGCACTCTGTGTCTCTCTCACCTTGAGTCCTGGCTTTTGTAGCCCAAATGCCAAGCCACAGGAGCATATGTGAACAGTCTGTTATTCTGTCCCATGGGCAACATAACTTCTCTCTTGGGAGGGATTAACTAAACCCAAATTACAGTTTCTAAATGAAACCAGCTGCCCTAATGGTAGGCAGAGATGTGCAAAAATTTAAGAATCCACTTGTTTGTTTGGAAACTTGAAGCTTTGTGCTAAATCCCTTTTGCTTACTAAACCTGTATATATGTAATTCTTTGTCCAAGAGGAAAAATGATATTGTCTCTTTAGATGTGTCTCAGTAATTCAGGCAAAAGGACTGGATTTTTTAAAAGCAATTTGAATTTCTTTCATATCACTTCTGAAGCGTAGTATGTTCCAGAATTCAAGGAGCCTTAACTGTGTGCGGATCCCTATTCGTTCATTCTCTCCATTTGTATCTTCCTCTATTCTCTCTCCCAAACCTGTTCCTCTGCCTAGACACTCCTGAAGAAAACCCTTATTTCCCTACGTACCAATTCCCTGAACTTCCTGAAATCCAGCAAAATTCTGAAGGTACCATAAACTTAGACAGTGTATCTGTTGTCCTAGCCTTAAATTAATTCTTATAGTTCCATTCTACGAATAAGATTTGGCTTTTAGATTTTTTTTTTAATAGTCCTTTTTGGTTGGTGGAAATTTTATTTCACTTATTTGCATGATGTGCTATATTAAAATGACTATGGCCTTCCTAATTCATTAATCTCGTGTTCAGTGTGATGCCGTGTGCTTTAATAACACTAAAGTAGGTAATCGTTCAAAAGAGTCAGTTGCGGGATTTGTGAGCTCCTCCACTTCGTGGTGGGTAGTTTCAAAATCCACTGCTTTTCTCTGCTACAGAGGACAATCCTTACACTCCTACCTACCAGTTTCCAGCATCTACTCCTAGTCCTAAATCAGAAGGTAATTAAAGGAAACTCACGTGCCTCTCTTTGTGCTGGTGCTGTTACTTTCTTCTTCACCTTGGGTTTTTTTCTGGTGGCTAATGGGCTGTCTCCCAATCGTTTGCTTCCCCCAACCTTGTGTTTTGTTGGTTTAGTCTCACTCCTTGCTGACTGTATGACCTGAGTCTGTCTGGATGGATTTTAATCCTGTTCCCTTGGAGTTTCCATGATTAATGGGGTAACCAGTGTAGCTTAGTTATAATGCTTTGAACATGTGGGGCTCTGGGGCCAGTAGTTGGGGTGGTCACATGGTGCTGGTGGCTGAGCAGTGACATGGGGAGCCAGTCATCGTGCTGCCAACAACAGAAGAGTTACCCAGTTCCCGTATGTGCTACAGCCCATCACTGGGCTCCTCTTGTCATGGATTTTCAGGGTGTATCTCCTTGGTAGGGAATTCCCAAAGGGGTGTCCAGGTAAGAGATTCCTTCATGGTGGGAGATGATGTCCCTTGAAAATAAGGGTTTTGGCCAAGTTAGAAAATGTTTCATGAAATTGCTGGCTAGGAATTTGGACCTGCTGGGAAGGATTGCCACATTCGTATCTAAGAGCAAAAAGTCTAGGTGTCAAAAAAGGTTCTAAAGGTAAGTTAAAGACACCATCCTTAGAATTACCCTCGTTCCAGGGATTATCTGACCTTTGGGTGAGTGACCTAGAAAGAGGAATGTGGAAAGGGGCATACAAGAGGAAATTCCATTAAATGCTCTTCTAGGATGAGATGTTGAACTCTCTTGACTGATTTGATTAATACTGAGCGTTAGTACAATGCATTGTCTTTGGAACTGAAAATAGTGCCGTGGATAAGACATGTCCCGTGTTCTCAAAAGTGCACATCCAGCAGTGAGTTAGACAAGGCCCCTTCCTCGCACCATGTCCAGAGTGGAGGCAGCTGCAAGGGCACGTGTTTGCAAGGCCAGAGGAAAGCTTGCTGGTGCGAAGGAGATCCTCAGTATATACCTGAGAATGTTGATGAGCGAGGCTTTGGACCATGGTACCATAGTTCTTTCTTAGAGATGCAGCCCTGTTGTGCCCCCTCAGTATTTCTCTGCTCTGATTAGCTCAACAGACTATCCTCCACAGCCCTTTTTGTCATGGGTTAGGTCGTGCGTTCACTCATTCACCAAACTCTTACTGATTACCTCTCAATACAGAAGGGGAACACCCGTTTTAGTTAAAATACCGGATTCCATTTTGGTTCTCCCTTTGATGTGCTCATCAGTGGTTTCCAACCATTTCATGCCTGGTTTGGAAGAAAAAAAGTCTCCCGAACAAACCCAGGCTTGCAGCTCCATGCTGATGATTTCATCATAACCAGTGACCTCCTCACTTCCAACAAGAATCTCTTTGCTGTGCGATAAGCTAGTCCTTTTATCCTGGAGTGCAGATTCTAGCCAGAAGCATTGCTTAAGAAACAATTGACTGAGACAAAAGAGGGAGACAGTTTTGTTCTGTTTTTAGGGTGATTTTGACTAAATGTGATTTTCGATTGGTGCTTCATTTGGACTTGAGAACCCAGCACCCTCCTTCTGGGCTCCCTTTTGGGGAAGATGACAAGTGCATGGCAAGCCTGAAGGCGTAGTGTCGCGTAGGCAATGGAAGGCTACCTGGAGGAGTCCTGTGGAGAAACACAGAGACTACGTGAGTCCAGAAGAATGCTATAGGCCTGCCGCAGGCAGTGTCAGCAGCTTCCACGGTCAGGCTGGCTGTTGGTCTGAAGACGGGGTTTCGTGGCCACACCCACAGCTGCCACGGTCCTCAGCTGCCACACCTAGCACCCCGGCTAACAATGACGTCAGCTTTTTGCTACAGGTCAAGTCAGGCACTAGAGGGAATTGGGGTTATTTGGTCTTGAGACAGAAACAGTAAGGGATGACATGGTAACTTGTCACCTATAATGTAGGAAGCAGACCTTAATATTTCTTATTTTGAAAGACCAAAGAGGATAACATTGTGAAGGATTAAAAAGGGGGGGAAATTAGGTTGAACATAAAAGATTAATAATAACCAAGATGATTAGGCTTTACCACAAGTGTCTAAGAAGTCTTCTTCCCTGGAAAGATTTTAAAAATAGGGTGGATTTCATTGTCCCTGCTCCTGCTAACGATGACCGAGCCAGACATAGAACACACATATATTCAGTCACTTGAAGGCTTTTTACAAGTGAAGGAGATGTTTGAGCTAGATCACATTAAAGAATTGGGTTTTTTTTTTTTTAAGTGATCAGAGATTCTCTGGCTTGTGGTTGTGACGTCTGTAAGCTTTGGTAGGTCCCCCTCAGCTCTGTGTTCCTGACAGGTGGCCCTGGGCTCTGCACACCCTTCTTAATGTGGGAAATATTTATGCCTTTCAAAGAAAGGTGTTGAGGACAAATTAGCACCTAGCCAGGGTTCTACCCGTAGATTTTAATGAGCATTAAAAAATAGCCCGTTTTGTGGGACGCCTGGGTGGCTCCGTTGGTTAAGCGGCTGCCTTCAGCTCAGGTCATGATCCCAGCATCCTGGGATCGAGTCCCACGTCGGGCTCCTTGCTCAGCAGGGGACCTGCTTCTCCCTCTGCCTCTCGGCCTACTTGTGATTTCTCTCTCTCTCTGACAAATAAATAAAATCTTAAAAAAAAAAAAATAGCCCGTTTTACTGAGAAATGTGAGCTGCCATTCCGGGGTCTGTCCTCTGTGAGGAGACCGTCATTGCTGCAGGTTTTTTGGTTTCACTTGTACTCAGAATTTGAAACTAGAATTGTTGGCAATAAACCTATCACAGCCTAGCCTAAGGGCCGCTGCCTCTGTCTCTGTCTGAAATCCTAGTTGTTTATCCAGTATAAAAGAAGATATTTCTAAGTGTCTGAAAGCGGATTCTCCTGACTAGTAAAAGACTCCAGGAAAGTTTGTGTATGCCGGCATAACAACATTTCCCCCCCTCCAACTATAAAGAAAAAAAAGGCAAACTTGTCCAGACTTTCAGAAGATTAATAGAGTTATCACACCTTAATCCGTGAAGTTTAAAATGTACTTGAAAAGAAACCTGTAAACTCCCAACGAGGAGCAGTCCCTTCTACTCCTTTTGTGATCTTTGAGACCAGGCTGTGGGACAGGAGCAGTTTGCTCTTTGTTTCCTGAGGTAGTTGGGAGAGACTGGGGGCCTAGGGACCTGACAAGAGCAGAATGAATTCAGGAGACTGACTTCTTGAAATTTCACTATGTACCCTGGTCCCTAGAAAGCTTATCAAAAATAACTTACCAGAAACCTTTTGGGAATAACTTTAAGTAAGGCTAAGCAAATGAGTTTTACTTTCTTTTTTTTTCTAACCTTCACTTGACCCACCCTCCCCTCCCCATCATTCCTTCCTCTGTGACCCAGAGCTGCTTGTCTGTGAATTCCATTCCGTTCTCTCTCCTGCAGGCAGAGAGATGTCCTTCTGTAGCCTCTGTGATGTCTGGTCAGAAAGATGGGGGGTGGGGGGTGGGGAGAAGGGGCTGTTGAAGTGACCGGATCCAGCCCCACCCACTGCCGTACCCAGATGTCAGGGGGCTGCTAGGTGGGTCTTCAGACCCCCTGCGCACGGTTTCCTCCTGGGGAGGAAGCGAGAGGGGGGCAGGCTGTGGAGGAAAGGCCTCAGACATGCCACCGCGGCCTCGCCCCTGCCTCCTGCTTTAGGAAACAGCCATGTGGTGGCTCGGACCCCAGCAGCTCACAGGCGTAATTCTATCAATAATAATAACAACAACAACAACAGCATAACCACGACAGCGCCTGCCGCGACCACCATTTATTGAGCCCTTACTGGATACACAGCCTCACGTGCTAAATGCATGACAACTATTAGCTTGTTTCATCCTCGTGGGGACCCCAGGAGGTAAGTCCTCATTTCATCAGTGAAGGGTATAAGGCTCGGGAAGGCTAAGTAATCTGCGCAAGATCACCCAGTAAGTAGCAGAACCAGGTTTTCAATGTGGATCTCTAGGGCCCTTCCTACTCTGTTCTATGGCACTGCTGATTCCTTTCCCTCTCCTGCTGCACTCTGTGTTCTCGGTTGACCCTCTCTGACCCCTAAGCCCAGGCGCCCGCGTCTCCCAGGATGGCATCGGAGGGGGGGCGTGTAGTTAAGAAATGTCCCCAAGTGATTTGACGCCAGGACTGAGAGCCACCAGAATGGAGGGGACCGCCCTTCCCACTCTCCAAGGAGAAGCTACTCTCCAGTGCAATCCAGGGAATTTGGATATAGAATTTGAGGGGGGCTACGGGTTCAAAAGAACCAGCCTTCCTACTCTGAACATGCCCAAATGATGTTGGCTCTCTTGACGGGCTTTGTGTCCACAAAATGGCCAAGCTTTTCAAATGACGCCTCCACATCAGCACAAAACCAGGTCTCTGGTGTGTTACTCCATGGTGCATGGCCTATTAGAACACTTCGGGCCATGTCAGGGCAGAGGGCTGTCCTATCAGCCAAAGGGGGACGTCCCAGAGACCAGCTTTCCCTCTTGCTTTTGGATGCTGCTTCCCCCACTGTCCGGCTGACGGTGACCACTGCCCCCTCCTGGTGAAGTGTCTCAAGGCGTCCCCTGGGCGTGGTGACATA